ATTTTAATAGACGTGTACACCATGCGCCATCAGTACGTTCATACTGTTTCCCTAGAAACAGAAGACATGCTGTTTGTTATTTAGTGAAAAAACGTTGTGCATACAATGTAAAATATTTTTTGTGTCAAGATAATTAGAAATGAAAGTGACATACGCACACACACAAGGTCGTCTCCATCAGAAATTCGTATTCTTTTATTTTTTTTCCAGCTCTCTCTCAAGATAATCGTTTAAGCTGCATGCTGCCACTAACGATAGTTTCGTTTTGTGTGCAGATAAAAGAAAGGGTCCACTCATAAAGCCAAGGAAAATCACACCTTCAATTGTGAGTGTATCTTGAAAACGATTTATTAATAATCTCGCTTCTTCTTCAAAATGAAAATTTGTATTTCTCATCAACGAAATGGTTATTAATAATTGCCGTAAACTCGGAATATCGGAATTTGGTTTTTTCAAACGGTCTTTGGATAAAAAAACTTTACTTTCCAAAGGAAAGAACATTATTCTTTCAATCATTGGATCACGCGCCGTGGCTAAACCATTTTGTTTGGCTCCGATAACATGTTGTATTAATTCTCCAGTTGACGTTCCAACAATCACTAATCTCGGATTTTTATATAACTCTTTATTCGATTTTCGACGCTTAATGTACGCAGAACAATGTGACCACATTTGCAAACACAATGATCGTAAATTGAAATGTCCAGGAGGTGATTTTCCTTCCTTGTCACGTATTTTCCCTCCTTTTAAAAGCTGTTCATCGGCTTCATCACAGAATAAATATGCACCGTTACGCATTGTGTCTAATAATCCGGCTGATGTGAGATCATCGCTGATACCATAATAATCATCATCAATTTGCCATCCATTTTTAACTAAATGTGGTTGAATGTCTAATACACATTTTTTAAACAAATTCAAAATGTTACTTTTCCCATGAGCTAAATAATATTAACAATATTAATATATAATATGAAATAATAAATACCTTATAAGAACAGTATCAAATGAGTCTTTCTGAAAAAGGAAAACACGCGAGTGGTTACATCACATTATGGCGGTGTGGATGCATATCCCGATTTTTGCATAGGCACTTTTGGTCGAAAAAAAAGTGGCTGATGGGAAGACACGTTTGACATTGAGGAAGACAGATTCTGATTAGGTTTGAATCCTCTATCTAATGGCAATGACAAAATTTTGAGCTAACGAAATTGATCGGAAAAACGTCGATATATATCGGGATACAGAGCGGTCGTCTCAACTGTATGGTTAAGGCTTCTAGTAGTAAAAGGTAACATTATATTCTAATTTAAACGAAACTTCAAAAAGCAATGCTTAAAAAAAAGAAAAAACTTTATTCTGTTTGTAGTGCTTTATTCTAAAGAACAACACTCAAGCTTGACACGCGAAGTGTTTTCTACACACCTGAAAGAGCAACAATAATAGCATACATATTTGTTGGAATTCTAATGTCATTATCACGATAAACGTATGTACGACCCATCAGATGAGATGCAGTTGTCAATAATGCTACTAATAAACCGTTGACATCAAGTTGTAAATTTGCCGCATGATTATTCAAAATATCAAACAAACTTTTGCTAATAATTTGTTCTGGAGACAGTTGTAACGAAACAGCATTATCAAAATTTGATAAAAAAGCTTTTTCTAAAGCACTTGTGCCCATGTTTTCACAATAACCTAAAACTAAATAACAGAAAATCGTGAGCATAGCTAGAATGATGTAAAACTAAAATAAAACCACTGTCATTGGTAATCTGTAATATAGCGTAAACACTCTGATTTGGTGAAGACAGCAGCAAATAATAAGCAGCTTAATTCTAGGAAAAGGGATCGTCTTTATATTTTAATACGTGATTAGTTACGAAGCTACAAAACAGGAGTTTTCATAGAAAATACAGATTTGATTACAGTTTTGAACGATATTTGACGTGCAACAGAAGTTAAATTTAGTTTCTCACACATCAAAAGGAGTGGCACTACCAGGATTTTCGTAGCGCGAACGCAGTCGAAAAAATAAATAAAGTTTCTGTTTGTCTCTTTTTTCTTAAACAATAGATAGAAAAACGCCAACAATAGATGAACGATTCGACGAAGTGAACTATCCACTGCCGCAGTGCGGTAAAATTTTGAGTTATAGCGATACAATCGTTAAATCTTAATCAACAGGTTCTTTTTAGATATATGCAAAAAA